GAACATGGAGCAGAGCTGGAGCAAATACTTTGATGCCAGAGTGGAGCAACTCAAAAAAATGGTTGCTCCAAAGCTCTGTCAGCAACTATTGAATGCAGTCTTGCAGTCTACATGGTTCCAGATACCTTTGGCAACCATCCAGCATCTTATTGAATTACTCAGTCTAGCTGCTGTCCAAGCTGCAAATGGCAGTTATTCTGGATATTAGCTGGTAGTCATAATAAAGTGACTCTACTGTTTATACAATAAGTAACTGATGATTTTTTTTATTTATTTATTTGTTAACAAACAAATGAATATAAATAATATAAATCAAATGAAATTGCTTGTTTTAATTTTAATATTTTCTTTAAATTTTAGCAAGAAATTTTTCATCATCTGAAAAAATAAAAAGCAATCCCCTGGAAAGATGGCAAGACTCATTAATGACATGCACTAGTTTCTCTCAACTTTTTTTGCATTTAGCAACACTTGAAAAAAGTGTAGTATGGTCATTATCAGCTTTGCAAGCTCGTTGTAAAATATGCAGAAGAAAAGGTGATGGTGAAAATATGCTTTTGTGTGATGAGTGTAATCGTGGTTTTCATCTCTACTGCTTAAAACCACCTCTTAAAGTAAGAATTTTTCTTTGTATTTTAGTTATTGAAATTTACAAATTTTGTNTTTTTGTTAAGAGTATATTAGAAACAGTCATTCTCTTCATACAATTTGCAATGTTTGTTAATTCTGTTTTCTAGAGGTTGGTGAACTAGCATATTTTTTTTTCACATTTAAATTTAAATCCCTAATTCTTTTGTTTAAAACTCTTCAAATTTCAAAACATTGCTTCAGTTCTTTAAAGATTGTAGTGCCAGTATATTGTTAATTGATTTGTTGTGTTTTTAAATAAATAAATTTGGTAGAAACATTAGTAAAATATTGACTACTTATTAAAAAAATAAAAGATTGACTATTTTGATAAGCAAAATCAAAGAAATACAGTAGAGTCTCACTAGTTTGAACTAATGGGGCTGAGTCCTGTTCAGATTAGCCGAATAATTGAAATAATACAATGCAACCAGTAAAACAGGTCTGGTTCATATAGATTTAACACCATCAGCACCCCACTCTATTTCATCTGGATTGCACTCAATAAAGGGCACAAACAGTTAACAAAAACAAATATTGTAACTTTATGCTTTAAGAACAACATCCCATAGTTTCACCCACAGACTGCATGTTTATAAGGCAATGGCGAAACATAGCATCTTCTAGTCGATTATTTTGTAATGTATTAATACAGTACTACAATAAAACACAATTCATTTTGTGGAATTCTAAATGTTTTTGTACCATTAATATCATTTACATTTAACTGGAAAATACAAAGAACATATATTTTGTGAGCTAAAAATTTTTTTTCTGCCGATCAATACATCTAGAAGATAGCTATCTTTATTTGGAATGCTTTGAGCATCAAATCAAGTTTAGTATTACCAGCATTATATTGTAATATTCAATATTACAATTTATTACTGTAAATATTAAATCCTTTCTATGTTAAATGGTCTTTAAAAGTGGTAATGTTATTCTATAAACATAAAATGAAAAGTTATGTTCAAATCATTGTTTATATTATTAGCTCATAACAAAATGGAAGAAATTATGAAAATTTACTAAATATATTAAAAGATTACTAACATTCCCAAAAAAATTGTTGAATTATTAATGAAAATAATTGCATTTCATGCTCAAATTAAGCTTTAATCATTTTTTAGTGAAGAAAATGAAGACACTTGTGATGTATGTAGTAAAGGTGGTACTTTAATATGCTGTGATGGTTGTCCATTAGCTTTTCATTTGGAATGTGTTAATCCACCTTTACGCCGAGTACCAAGAGGTGTGTGGAATTGTCCAAAATGTTTATCTTTGTCAGCAAAAAAGGCTGCTGCTGAAAAACATAGTGGTAAGTTTCAATCTGGATTATATAAAACAAGAGCTCAGCTATTATTATCTATTGGTGATAGAAAAAACTCAAGGTGATTGGTATTGCACAAATTGTCAGTATAAAATGAAGCCTCCATCACCTGTTAAGAAGAAACCAGTTTATTATGAAGATGATGATGATGACAGCAATGACATTGATTATGATTATTCCATTACTGATGAAAATACAGATAAACAGTATCAAAGGTAATTTCAAATGTCTTTCATGATATAATTAAAACTTTATATATTTTAAGACTGGTTTACACAAAACCACTTATACTGATATTTTACTGCATCTAAAAACATCAACAAATAGTAGTCATATCATGTAAACCTAGTTATCTTAGTTTTCCAAGAGAATTGTTTTTTAAACCAAAATTTTTAAAATGATATAATTATGAAAATTATTGTAATTTTTGTTAAGAGTATATTAGAAACAGTCATTCTCTTCATACAATTTGCAATGTTTGTTAATTCTGTTTTCTAGAGGTTGGTGAACTAGCATATTTTTTTTTCACATTTAAATTTAAATCCCTAATTCTTTTGTTTAAAACTCTTCAAATTTCAAAACATTGCTTCAGTTCTTTAAAGATTGTAGTGCCAGTATATTGTTAATTGATTTGTTGTGTTTTTAAATAAATAAATTTGGTAGAAACATTAGTAAAATATTGACTACTTATTAAAAAAATAAGAGATTGACTATTTTGATAAGCAAAATCAAAGAAATACAGTAGAGTCTCACTAGTTTGAACTAATGGGGCTGAGTCCTGTTCAGATTAGCCGAATAATTGAAATAATACAATGCAACCAATAAAACAGGTCTGGTTCATATAGATTTAACACCATCAGCACCCCACTCTATTTCATCTGGATTGCACTCAATAAAGAGCACAAACAGTTAACAAAAACAAATATTGTAACTTTATGCTTTAAGAACAACATCCCATAGTTTCACCCACAGACTGCATGTTTATAAGGCAGTGGCGAAACATAGCATCTTCTAGTCGATTATTTTGTAATGTATTAATACAGTACTACAATAAAACACAATTCATTTTGTGGAATTCTAAATGTTTTTGTACCATTAATATCATTTACATTTAACTGGAAAATACAAAGAACATATATTTTGTGAGCTAAAAATTTTTTTTCTGCCGATCAATACATCTAGAAGATAGCTATCTTTATTTGGAATGCTTTGAGCATCAAATCAAGTTTAGTATTACCAGCATTATATTGTAATATTCAATATTACAATTTATTACTGTAAATATTAAATCCTTTCTATGTTAAATGGTCTTTAAAAGTGGTAATGTTATTCTATAAACATAAAATGAAAAGTTATGTTCAAATCATTGTTTATATTATTAGCTCATAACAAAATGGAAGAAATTATGAAAATTTACTAAATATATTAAAAGATTACTAACATTCCCAAAAAAATTGTTGAATTATTAATGAAAATAATTGCATTTCATG